CCCCCCCCGAGAGGGCCCCCACGGCTCCACCTGTGGCACCTTCCGCCCCCACCTCGCTGGCTTTCTAGGCCCACCTCCTCCAGAACGCCTCTCTGATGGCCAGCACTGCCCGCCTGGCACGGGTCTCTCCCTTCTTCCTCGCCTCCGTCGTTCCCATTTCCTGGGTGTCTCATATTCTTCGTGGCCATGTCTTTCCTAAACGCCGCCATCCTCACATCACGGCTCCCAGCCCCACGCTCTCCCCGTGGCGTGTGGAGATGCCACGCCCCTCCCGGCAGCCCCCTCTCACGTCTTCCACACCCAGCTGTCTGCCCCTGAAGCCCCCACCGCTCCTCTCTGTCTGCCCACTCCTTGCCTTGTCTCTTGCTGGGTCCCGGCCACGGCCCCTAGCCCTCCGATCCAGATGCTCTTCCCAGACAGCAGGTTGCATCACTGTCCTGCTCATGACCCTGCTGTGGCTCCCCATTGCTGTGAGGAGAACGTCTGAGCCCTCCTCCGGCTTCTCTTGATCCCCAGTCCATTCCTGATGGGGTCTCCAGCCTCTTCTGCCTCCAGGGCCTAGTATTGTCCTATCTCACCCCGGTAGTCCTGGACTCACATCACACTCTTCCATGGTTTCATCTTCTTCTCATCGCTGAAACTGCCTCCAGTTTTGCCTCCATCCACCCAAACCTAATCCACTTTCAATGCCCAACGCCAGGCCCCCTCTTCCAAGAAGCCTTCCCTGCCTGCTCCATCTACCCAGGTGTCACCCTCAGCAGATGCTGTCTCAGAATGTGTTAATTAATTAATGACACTCGGGCATGGTAACTCAGGCCTGTCATCCCAGCACTTTGGGAGACCTAGGCAAGAGGACTGTCTGAGCCCAGGGGTTCGAGACCAGCCCGGGCAACTTGGCCAGACCTCGTCTCTATAATAAATCAAAAAAAATTAGCTGGGTGTGGTGGTGCACGCTTGTGGTTCCAACTACTTGGATGGATCACCTGAGCCCAGCAGGTCGAGGCTGCAGTGGCCATAAGCGAGCCACTGCACTCCAGCCTGGGCAACAGGATGAAACTTGGACTCAAAAAAAAAAAGTATTGGATGATGGTGGGGGAGCGGCCGGGGGTCACGAGTGAGCCTTGAATGGATCTCCTTGGGCAGAAGGGTCAGAAAAGGAGTGAGGGGTGGGGGAGAAGGCACTCAGTGAGGGGGCCACAGAGCTTGGAAGGGCTTGGGGGGGTATGGGCATTGACCGGGTGTGGGGAATTGGTTGTGAGGCATGGGGCACTGGATGGGTGCAGGGCGTCAGCGCTCGGGGGCACGGAATGGATGTGGGTCTGGACCTGAGGTGTGGGGGTGATCCCTGAGCTGGGCCTGGCGTCAGGACGGTCACCCGATGCCCTCCGTGCCCAGGGGTGGTGCAGAGCATCAAGGACCACATCACAAAGCCCACGGCCATGGCGCGCGGCCGCGTGGCCCACCTCATCGAGTGGAAAGGCTGGAGCGCCCAGCGCTCGGACTGGGAGCTGTCCCCCGCCGAAGACGAACACTACTGCTGCCTCCCAGACGAGCTGCGTGAGGCCCGCTTTGCTGCAGGTCAGGGCGGAGGGGGGGTTGGCTGGGGCCCTGCAGAGGTGGAGCTGCGGGGGAGTGTGGTCTGCCGCGGACCCAGGTTGCCACACGGGCCTTGTCTGGGCAGGGAAAAATGATGGCAGGAGCGGATGGCTACTGAGTGGGCCTGGTGATCACCGCCCAGAGAGCTGGCCACCCCCGCCTGACCCGGTGCCAGCCGTTCTGACGCTGAGGAGCCCACCCTCTACCCGGGTCCCCACTGAGCCGGTCTCGCCGTGCCCCCAGGGGTCGCCGAGCAATTTGCCATCACGGAGGCCACACTGAGCGCCTGGTCCTCACTGGATGACGAGGAGTTGCACCCCGAAAACAGCACCCAGGACGTCGTCCAGCTCCAGGGTACGGCCTGGTGGGAGTGGGGAGCAGTGCGCCCGGGTGGGGTGGGCGGAGCAGAGCCGAGGCTGGGTTCCTGCCTGTGTTTCACGTAACCCTCACGGCAGCCCCAGGGGGTAGGTCCTGATGGCCCCATTTTACAAACAAGGAAACTGAGGCACAGAGAGGTTCGGAAACTCACCCCAGATTACACGGCTCTGGAGATATAAAAGCAGTGGATTCACCCTGGATGGACTCAGCCTGGTCTCTGCTGGGGAAGGCGTGACCTCGGGGGACTTAGGGACACCCAGCTGATGAGAGAGGCCCCTCGGAGGATGCCTAGGGCTCTCTGGACTCCCCAGGGAGCCACAACCGGGGACCCCACTTTGCCAGTCATGGTTCAGCCAAGGAGGAAACTAGGGCTGAGATGAGGGTCACTGGGTCCTGGGGCGTCAGAGCTGGGATCTGAAACTTAGCACCAGGCACGACCATCCACCTTCCTAGAGCCCTGGGTTACTACTGGGGCTTCAAGGAGCCTGGACCCTGGGTGAGGCCTGCAAAAGTGTAATCACACTTAATCCTGCTTCTGAGGGGGGTGGGATGAGGGTACCGGGAGGGGACAGAGGCCCGGGAGGAGGGCTGGTGGTCCCAATTCTGGCTCTGAGCCTACTCTTTTTTTATTTTTTTTGAGTTGGAGTCTCACTCTGTCACCCAGACTGGAGTGCAGTGGCCGCTTCCAGCCACCGCAGCCTCGCCTGCTGGGCTCTGGCGATCCTTCCGCCTCCGCCTTCCGAGTAGCCAGAATTACAGGCCCGCGCTACCACGCCCGGCTAATTTTTTTTTATTTATTGTAGAGATGAGGTCTCGCTGCCCAGGTGGGTCTTGAACCCGCGGGCTCAGGCAATCCACTCACCTCAGCCTCCCAAAGGCGCGGGATTACAGGCTGAGCCACCGAGCCCGGCTCCGAGCCTACTCTTAACTACCCTGCTTACTGCCAGGAGAAGGCAACTGGGGCTCAGAGAGGTTTAGTGACTTGCCCAAGGTCACACAGCTTGGCAGTGACACAGGGAGATCTAGAGGGTTGACATTTCTCCCCCACCTGTTGCTTTTCCAGACCTGGAGAGCATCTACCTTCAGGACAGCCTCCCGAGTGGCCCCTCGCAGGATGACAGCCTGCCGGCCTTCTCCTCGCCCGGCCTCTCCCCTGATGACTGGCCCTCCCCTGAGGAGCCCCCCATGGCAGCTGCCGGCCCACGGCCCCCCAGCCTGGAACAGCAGCATTGGACGCGGCTGCCAGGGGCCCCCGAGCCTGAGGGCAGGGCCCCCCCTCTGGACTCGCTCCCCGCGGCGGACAGCGGCTCCCTCTGGGAGGAGGAGGATGAGGTGTTCTATAACTGAGGCGGGGTCACACCGGTCCAGCACCTGCTCACGACACTACCTTGCCTGGCGGGCAGCCTGGGCACATCAGGACACAGGGGTCTGGGGCTGGGCATCTCTTGAGCCCTCGGGGCAGGCACAGGGTGGGTGTGCCAGGGATGGGGCCTGCACTCCTTGCGGACCGCTCTGTTCCTCGGTGGACCTGCCCAGCGTGGGAACCATCCCTCTCCTCCCTTGGTGACGTGGCTCAGGTGAGCACCTGCCCCTGGGGTGTCGGCCCTCGGGGAGCTCAAGGACTCTCAGCAGACACAGGGTG